ACTTGTACTAGACTATTTATTGCAGCTCAATTTACAATCGCCCAAATGTGGAAACAGCCTAAATGCCCCCCACCCAGGAATGGATTAACAAGTTATGGTACATGTACACCATGGAATATTATTCAGCCATTAAAAAAATGGAGATTTCATAGCATTTGTAATAACCTGGATGGAATTGGAACACATTATTCTTAGTAAAGCATCACAAGAATGGAGAAGCATGAATTCTATGTATTCAATTTTGATTTGAGGACAATTAATGACATGGTGGGGAAAGGGGAGAGCAGACAGAGGGAAGGAGGGAGGGAGTGGGGGAAGGAAGAGCAGAAAAAGGGAAGGAAGGAGGAGGGTGGGGATCTCAGTGTGTGACACATCTGGTACCCTCGATGAATCCCCAGTTCCAAAATAAAAAGTCAAAAGGAGAACTCCAGAATTGTACTGTTCAGTATGGCAGCCATGAACCATATGTGGCTATTTGAATAATTTAACTTAATTACAATTGAATAAGTTTGAAGTTCAGTTTCCCAGGCTTGCCAATCACAGTAAGCACCCAGTAGCCACATGTGGCTTGTGGCCCCCATATTAGCTGGCAGAACATTTCCGTCATTACAGTAAGTTGTATTGGTGTTGGCCTAGCAGGGGTCCTCAAACTTTTTAAACGGGGCCAGTTCACTGTCCCTCAGACCGTTGGAGGGCCAGACTACAGGCCCTGGGACAAGTCGGCTGCTAAGCAGGACAGGCAGCGGTGGCAAACACACCTAGCAAGCCGGATAAAAGTCCCAGGCAGGCTGCATGTGGCCTGTGGGCTGTAGTTTGAGGATGCCTGGCCCAGAGAATCCATAGTAAATCTTCATGAAGGTAGGAGAAAAAATTCAAATTCCTCCATAGTGTTTGAGCTGAAAACAGGAATGCTTCTTTTCCACCCACGATATGTTTGGGAGGGAAGGAGATGAGGAACACAGGTGTTGGGGGTCTTACCAAGCTTTCCCTTAAAGAAAATGGACAAGGACAAGAAGTGATCGTGTTTTCACGACCCCTGGTGACCACAGAACAGATTTAACATGGGCGTGGAGTGGGGCTCATTGTTTTTATTCTTGCGGTTGTGTTTCTGCAGGTATGCCATTGGCCTTGCTTATAAATCGGCCCCAAAGCATGAGTGGATTGGGAAGAACTCTGCCTCCTGGGCACTCTGCCGCTGCAACAATAACTGGGTGGTGAGACACAACAGCAAGGAAATCCCTATCGAACCAGCCCCTCACCTGCGGCGTGTTGGCATCCTGCTGGACTATGACAACGGCTCTGTTGCCTTTTATGATGCTTTGAACTCCATCCACCTCTACACCTTTGAGGTCGCCTTCACACAGCCCGTGTGCCCCACCTTCACTGTGTGGAACAAGTGTTTGACGATTATAACTGGGCTTCCTATCCCAGACCATTTGGACTGCACAGAGCAGCTTCCATGAGCATCTGGCCACATGGAGCTGCTTTCTGGGAAATAGAAAGGTTGAGGCCACTAGTTAGGAGACTGAGAAAGCATAGGCTTCAAGAGTGTGGTTAAATGTCACCAAAAAGTGTCCAGAAATTGGCTAAGATAGGGCTCAAAATGGGAGATTCCTCTCCTTTTACTGTGTTAAGAACAGGCTTTAATAATTTCTTTAATTTTTTTTTCTATTTAGGAAAATCTATAGATTATTTATAAGAGAAACATAATCAGGATTACAACTTTAGGAACTATTTGGTTTTGCACATGAAGAGGCCCATAAGTTTGCCAGCTATTTACAACCTTTATTTCATCACCATCTATGGGCTTGCATTAAAAAAAAAAAAATCTTTTGTAGTTTTATATGTTTATTCACCTGAACACATAGTATCTCAAATGTGTACTCACCCCATGGTAGGTCTTATCATCTCAACAGTACATAACAGAATATATGTGAACCTAGTAGGGAAATAAATGGGCTTTCCTACTCTGGTTTAATTTGGAATGTTTTAACTGTGATGTCAAAAATGGGAGAGCAAGAGAGAGAACAAAATAATTGCTTTGGAACTCAGACCTTGCCATGGCTAAATCTTTACTTTCCCTCTGATGGTTAGTGGGATAATGTTGGAAAGAAAGGTTCTGAAACCTTTGGCCAGATTTTTTCCTGCTTCTTCCAGGATTAAGGATTCTGGGAGAACATTAAGAAAGAATGAGATTGCAATTGAAAATAGTCATTTTGAATCCTATTGATTATTCAAAACTTTAGGCTGATTTGTGTTTTATCAGAAGTAGGAATCCGTTTCATGGCATAAAAATCTATCTTATCCTTTAATAGTTCTTTTAGGCCTGTGAAATTTCTTCACTACATTTAATCTATTTCCTCCCCCTTCCACATAACAATTTTCCTTTTGTCTCTGAGGCAATATGTTCTGTCACAAAATGTAGCACCATTTTGGATTGAGTTTTATACTCTGGAACATTGGCACATGGCCCCGATCATCAATACCACATCAAATATGTCACCAAAAACACTTACTATTTATGAGTTAGTAATGACAAGGGACATTGCATAAAGTTCCAATCACTAGGTACATGCCTCAGATATTACAAACAGACCTTTATTAAACATATCTTTAAAGATGTAGATGTCCCTCCATAGTCTAGTCTAGTTTACAATAGAGTTGTAAGACCAAAAACAAAACTCAAACTCATTATTTGAGAACCTGCTAATAGAACTTGGCTAATAAAATGTAAGATAGGATGGATATTTTACATGCTTATCTGATACGCTGGAATTTTCCAAGAGTCTTGGACCGGGACTCTGGCATTGGTTCTACCTTTATGAAGGGCATGACCTCTATAAATGTAAAGTATTTACTTGGGATACTGGGTTAGCCATTTTGACTGAACAGACTGGTGGACTTAGGTATTGTTTCTAGGGATTTTATTTTTAACCAAATCAACCAATTGCTTCCCTGAAATAGGTCAATGAACCCATTATTTCAGCATCATGTGGCCAAAGCTCATGGTGATTGTAAACCCAGACTACCAGGGAGGCCAAGCCTGCCTCCCTCATCCTTCCACCCTCTTCCCTGGCAGACACTGCTTTTTCTTAACAGATAGATTCTATATATTTACTATATTATTTATACCCAGATGAATATTTTGATAGCTACTCAAGATAATTTCACATCTAAAAGATGGACACCTCAATGGAAAAAATGTTAATCATTCTCTGGAAACTTAATGGGATTTTTTTTTTTTACAATATAAAAACAATGTTTGCCTTCCCTGAATAAACTGAAAGGGTTGTCTCAGTAATTTTTACATACATTTTGGGTAACTGGATAATGGATATTTTAATGCACTTTGTACACTAACAGGTTCTAAATAAAAGGGTCTAAAACTCAGCTTCTGAGTTTTTAAAAATCATGGTCTCCAGGTACCAATAAATGCTACAGTTTGCCTTATGATATTAACATAAAGCATTTACCAGAAGGATAATATTTCCATAAAAATAATGTTTTCCAGTATAAAGTTATTACTCAAATTTTCACAGCAAGCCACTTAGGGTATGTTTTTGGCTATTTTTATAAGGACACAAGAGAATCTATTATAATTTTGTTGTGGAAATCTCACTCTTGGCTAACTTAAAAGCATTGTGGATAGCAGCAGTTACTATTATATTTCCAGGTTGTCATATTTACAGGAAAATATGTATATGGTGAAAGGCCACAGTGTTTAATTACTGTAATGATGTAGAAAAATTTCCATGTGAATTTTTTTGAAAGTCTAAAAATATATATGCTGTAAACATTTGCTACAGTGTAATTTTGCATTCTCTTTAAATGAATTGGGATCGTGGCATTTTAGGTCCTCACTTCACAGGAAGCATCATTGTTACAAGGGCAAAAGAGATGACAGCGCCACTTAAGTTAATACAACAAAATTGACGCCGCGCTAACCAAGACTGTGAGGTCTGGCATCACGGGTGTGCCCAGAGCCCAGGGTTCAGAAGGGCCCTATGCTTGTTTTAATGCTTTGCTGTTGCTGTCTTGAAATTCTTAAATTTTGAACAAGGGGCCTGCATTTTCGCTTTGCACTGGGCCTTGCAAATGATGTAGCCAGTACTTAGAACAGAAGTCAAACATGGTACCTCTCTTCCTGGTGGCTACAAATAAAGAAATCTGGATCCAAAGTTGAAAGTGGCTGGCTATATCATTCAAATAGGCATCTAAATGGTGGATTAAGATGAGGGTGGGCCTGGGTGAAGATCTTTTTTTCAGCTTTAAAAGAAAGTGACTTCAGAAACTGACTGCAGATATTGATGATGGTTTCTGCTGGAGAAGAGGAAATGGCCTGAATGAATACAGACAGGCTTTTTATTCTGGTACTGACATGTATACCTAAACTTCCCGAGGAACTGAACTAGCAGCCTCCAGTGAAAGTGGAATTCCACCTCAGCTCCAGACACATATGCAAATAACTGCAGAGACACAAGCATATGTGCTCACAAGCATTTGCATTTGGTGTTGGAAAGTTGACGATCTGGTCTACTTTAATAAGGTGTTTAAAAGCATCCAAGACGATGATGGGAACAGTGCTTCTCAACCAGGGCTCGATTTTGCCCTCAGGAGACATCTGGCAATGCCTGGAGTCAATTTTGTTCATCACAAGTGGGGAAGGGAAGCTATCGGGATCTAGTGACTAAGGGTCAAGGACGCTGTTAAACATCCTGTAGGGCACAGTGAGCCTCCACCACAAAGGGTTATCTAGCCCCAAATATCAGTAGTGCTGCAGTTTAGAAAACTATGGGTCGGGAATTTTTTGAATGCAAAACTCTCATAAATACTTTTATTTTTCTGTAATTGATTCAATACCTGATACACCAAACAAGAAAAGGAGGGGGCACCAATTAAAAACTCTCACTGCAGCGGCCCCTCCACCTTTAAAAAGAGTAACAAAACAGTTACGAAAATCTGAAAGGCAAGTTTGTGTAAATGGGAATCACTGATGAATACCATGATCGGGATGGATTCAGTTTGGAAATAAAAAGTCGGTTCTCTTTCTGCCACTACTTGCAGCCAACCAAACTCAATCCCTGGTACTTGAGTCACACTGCCAAACCCTTAACCCAGATTATTGTCTTAATTGCTGTTGCTTTCTAGTTTAAAATAAAATCATTTTTGTGGTTCCAAGACCCTCTATGTCTACTTGTCTCTGTTGCCTTTTCATCATTTTGTCTTTTTGCCGTTATGATGTTGGCAAATATTTATTCAAATTCTACTGTGTTTTCCATGCTACTTTGTGACATATGGTCCATTTTTTTACATCAGAAACTGTCTCAGATGCACCATCCACCTCTCTCCATTCAAAATACAGTTACTTTATAACACTCAGAATAGTCCTCTGAAGATTAAAAACACAAAAGAAGAAAAGCTACACAGGAGTGAGGATCTAGAAAAAAAGCTTGCTTGATTTCAAGTCTTTTGGATGGGGCTAGAGGATGGTTTGACCAGAAGACTGGGGGTCTTAACAGTGTGGTCCAAGACAATTCCAGTTCTTGGTCCATAAACAGATCCCCAACCTCATCCCATGGTCGCTAGGACCTGGCTTTCCTTAGAGATGCAAGCCTTTTTGGTCTCAGTGCTATGCAAAGGGATTGGCAGCATCTGCACAACGTGGGCGAGCTGGCAAGAACTGATCAGAATCTTGGGGGCAGGACTCAGGAATCTGAGTACTAATAAGCACTCCAGGGGTTTCTGATACTTTTGAAAGTTTGTGACCACTGCTCTGGAAAGCTGTTCCCAGTCTCATAGTCCATTAAAAAAGGCACTTTCAGCCTCAAATGTGCTGTAAAGGCAGCAAGGTGTAATGCTGTGGTTTTTAAATTTAAATCACCTTTTCTGCAAATGCTGATGGATTCCCATCCTGAAAGATGGGGTATGAGATGGGTGAGAGTGGCTCAGCAACCTGTGCTTTTTTTTTTTTTTTTTTTTGACGTGGTCCTAAAGTGCAGTCAGGATTAGCAGCCAACACTTCTAATCACAGGGCTTGGCACTTTTTCTATAAAGGGTCAGATAATGAATACTTTAAGGCCTGCAGCCCATACCATCTCTAAGGCTGTAGAGGAAAAGCAACCATAGAGAATATGTAAATGAAGGGATGGGTTGTGTCCCAATAAATCTTCATTTATAAGAACAGGCATTGGGTTGGACTAGGCCCATGGGCTATATAGTTCGCCAACACCTACTCTAGTGCACATAGTACTGGACTGGCAGCCCAAAGCCTTCTATCGCTGTCCCCTCACTCACTGAGAACTCAGTCACGTCCCTTCATGCCTCTGGGCTTCAGTGAGCCCTAAAAGTCCTTTCTAACAATGAGTTACGTCAATTCTATGAAATCATAGAACTTGTGGAGAATTAGTTAAGGAGTACTTAAGACAGGGCTACTCAAGGGTTCATTCAGCAGAACAGGGTGGAGTGTGCCAGCATTCTAATGATTAACTATACTCCTTTTGTCATTTTGACTCCTATCAGCCCTTCTCTCAAGTGACAGGTATGTAAAATATATTCCCTTTGATAAGAGTTTTGAGGTATATTTAATTTGAACTTTTGAAACTGAACAGACCACTGCTATAATTAATCACCTTTCAAAGTCAACTTGAAGGACAACTCACATACTTTGCAGGGTAGCCCACATCCCATCTTTTTTTTTTAATATACAAGTAAAATATGTTGAAGAGTAGATTATAAATAGGAAGACAAAAAGGGAGACATGGAACTTACAAAATCCCTTTTCCTTGAGTAACATTCTATGAGGTGTATATTAAATAATGTCAAATAAAAAGGAAGTCGAGGACTTATAGAAAAACCCTTCCTGTAATCATCCAGTCTTAGTAATGAACAATTTATGGAAAGGAATTTGGGTCTTTCTGTGGGTCTTTTTCAGCCATATTCTCTTCTCCTAAGAATCATTAAAGCATGATTAAATAGGAAGCGTAGCAATTAACGAACAAATATGTCATGGTCATAAACCTATTACCAAGTAAGGGGCAGGGCAGAAAATGATTTAATGAACATTAGTTCTTTTGTATAGTCTATTTATTCTCAAAGCTCAATTTTGATTATGGTCATTAAAAGCTGTTCATTTTCACTAACACATTTCAAATAACAATGCTCATCTTACCCTTTGCCAATCTTATTCTCCCCTCTGACTACCGCCCGCCCTCACCTTCTCTGTCTACCGTTTCTGTTTCTTCACCTGTTGTGAAGCACCAACTCCCCAACATTCCACTGAGAGTGCAATGTCTTCGTGCTACAAAAAAAGTGCTCACTAACATCAAATTGGCATCCGGATCAATACACAGTCTCATAGATGTTTGGATGGTCTCATTTTGACTTATGGTAGCTTTTCAGATGTTGACTATCTAGTTTTTTTTTTAATGCCTCCTTAGGCAAGGTCATCAGCATCATTGCCTCAATTGCCATTTTGTATGGAAGTCTCCCAAATTCAAATCTCCAGGCCTAGTTTCTCCACTAAGATCAGCCCTACACATAGAGACCTGTTTTATCAGTCATCATTTTTGAATGCCTAAAGGACACCTCAAGTTCAACATGCCCCAAACTGCGTTCATGGTCTTTCCCACAAATCGCATCCTAGTCAGTCAGTTGTGTAAATTAAAAACTGAAGGTTT